CAAAGTCATGGCGAAGTTTCCGGGCAAAAAGAGACTCTACAAGTCCAACGACAAAGTGAGCTCCGAAGACAGCTTTGACATTCCACAAAAGTACCTGAACACTCTGTCACCAAGTGGAATGCCACCCCACCAGTTGAAAGTGAAAGTCGGCTGCCCTGTTATGCTTCTACGGAACCTGCAGCCTCAACAAGGTCATTGTAACGGCACCAAATACATCGTTACTGTCTGTATTGCATGACAACATCATAGAAGCCGTAGTTGCCGGAGGATCTCACAAGGGTAACAAAGTTTTCATCCTACACATCCCTATAAACCCAACTTATGGAACGTTTCCCTTTGACATGACTCGCCGACAATTCCCTTTAAGACCCTGTTTTGCGATCACGTCCAACAAGACAAACGTTGAAAAAGGTTGGGATCTTCTTGGGCCGGCCATTCTTCTCCCATGGTCAATACTATGTGGCGCAAAGCAGGGTTGGGGAGAAGGACACCCCCAGAGTTTTGTCGTTGGACATTGGGATAACGGATAATGTTGTATACCCAGAAGTTTTAGACAGATCATATGTTAACAGCGATTTTGTTTTTCATGAATTTGATTTGGAATTGGATTGATTGATATTTTTTATTTAAACTTGATTAAAAGAAGTGCAGAACTGTATGCCTCTCTTACTTTTAACACTATCATGACCAACCTGTTGTCCTTTTACTCTTAAATGGTTCTATACTTCTCAAAAATTTGTATCTGTAAATAATTGTACATAATTCTGACGAAATGCCAAAGTGGGTATCTATATAATTTTCGTAATAATTTAATGATAACCTTCATGCCCACAGTTCAATGTTTTCATGGTATACCAATATACCATACCTTACAAGACATATTTATGTATATTATAATTCTGTGGATCATAATTCTGGGGATCGGAATTATGGGGGAACGAAAATACGGGGATTTTTTTCAGAAATCCCCAAATTTCGTACCCCAAATTAAATTGTCGCATTTTCACGCTAAATTATTTCAGAGAAATCAAAATTTTCGGAGCAGGATCCATTTGTTTAACAACAATGTTTAGCTGTTCAAGTTATTCCATAAGGGTGAAAATTGCATGTCTTCATTATTCTATTTTGTATTTAATGTTTTTCTAGTGTGAAACTAGTCGTTGTTATAGAAGTCTATATAAAATTATATGTGAGATAATTTTGAATCTGACGCACGTTTTTCACGTAACACTGAAAAACCAGAAATTTTTATACTAAGTACTTTAAGGTAACTTTCTATTTACCTGAGAAATGCGTATCCTTGTCTCACAAAACACGTAAAACAACTTATTTGACAAATTCACCTCAAATTAGCCCTATTTAAGCCAAATACATAAAAATTAATGTGTGGGATTTTGAAATGGCGGCCACAATTTTGGTAGTACGAAAATATGGGGATTTTTTCCAAAAATCCCCAAATTTCGTACCATATAAATATGTCTCGTAAGGTACTTTAAACTCATTAACGTTTTATTTATATACTAAATATTTTGATTCTTATTCCTTAGAAGGGCAATCTATTAACAGTTTTTGACGGATTTTAATGTGATCTTTAAATTTGATCTTTAAATACGTCACGTTCCTGTCGGTACCAATGGCATTTCCGTTTCTTAATCTAAGTTCTAGTTATTTCCCTTAATAACTGCATAATTATTTGAGTTCGAGACAGTAATTTCCGTGCAGTGCGATCAGAGATCCTGCAAGTTGACAACATCATTATCATAAGTTATTAACTTAAACTTAAAGTATCTTCTCAAGAAGTGTCGCAACACACTTGCAATTTCATTGATACCCAGACTCATCCCCACGATCACATAAATATCTCAAGTTTAAGTCCCTATGATTACAGAGAGAAGTCTGGGTATCACCAAATATATTAATGTGTAGGCCCACTTCTTGGGAACGAACCTTCGGTAAATATTCAAAGTCGGCTATTCTAATCCTTCTTCTGAGGAAAGCTGGTGTTTGTCAGACGGGGAGCTGATGGAAGAGGGGGGGGGGGGGGTCCACGCGATGCCGTACAAAATATTTAAAGTTGAGGGAATGGTTTAGGGGTGCTCAAATATATAAAGTCAGCCAGATTTTTTCCCTGCTCTTGCCGAAGGCAAAAAGATCGTAGGGAATAAGTAATCGGGTTTGGATATATGAGGTGGCCCGACGGTCCTGCGATGTCGACAAAAGTATGCTCCTTCGCAATATAGACCACTCCCCTATAATTATGAGTATAGGAAGCGTCTGTTATGCTGCGCGCGACGCTCGGCATGTGTTAGTTAATTGCAGTATCCAACGCGAATTTCAATTGTCAAACGATGCCGTTCAAATTAAATTAGCCCAAAATTTGTGCGCGGCGTACTAAATATTCGATTACATGCAATCCTGCACGCGCGCAATGACAAATTACGATGAAAATATTGCAACTTTTTAACAACAAAATAATCCAATATCCAATTTTTATTAATCGATAAAATTAACTTTTTGTGGCAAATATTAACGGTTTAAGCAGGAAAAATTAATCGTGCGTGGTGTAACCGCGGCGAAATTCTTGTTGGACTCCTTCTCCCCTCCGTAACCACCTTTAATTTTAGTTTCACACAGAGCTACTGTGTAGAAATTATACAAATTATTCTACCCCTCCTAGGTTGGTTACGTATTATGTGAAAGATTCCTGAATATGTAGAATGTAGATGGCCATGGGGTGCCAAAATGTTTGCTATGTTGGGATTTGTGAACTAGATAAAAGTATTGTTGTTGTGTTATGCTAATAAGATTTGAAATTAGGACAGACAATCTTTAGGGTTACACTAGTAAGGGTTAAGGGCGAGGAAAGGGTTAGGGTAGACTTTACGGACCCTGAATTTAACACTTTCTCCAGCCCTAACACAAAAGTTATTCTGCTAATGTTTACCTTTAGTAGTCAGGCTTCTTGGATACTGCCATCACTACTGTATACAGTTAAAACTCTCTATACTGGGTACCTCTATATACCGGGGATATTCTTTTCCCCAAAAATTGTTCAATTAGTTTTTGGTCAGGTCGTGCAAGAAATGTGATTTATTTGAGCTAACCCCGCGTTTGGTGACGATGTGAGTAAATATTTAGCTAGTAGCTGTATTCCATCATAATACGACACAGTTCGTGCACATTCGGCCATTAAATCAAAATGTACCATACATTTCTAGTTTCCCCGAGGATCCAGGACCCCGGTATAGACTATAGAGACATTTTACTGCATAAAGTAAAGGAGAGGATAATATAATATTGAATATTCAATCGGCCTAAGGATCTTATCCGTATATTTTTATAGAAACAATACGTTTAAGTCCACTGAGGTAAGATTCATACCAGTATAAGACTGTTCTCCACATTCCATAGTAGTATATATAGTGTTCTACCTCTTTTTACCCCATACCCCCATTGCGTTCCAAGAGATCAAAAGCTTTTGAATTGTGTTTGTAAAAGCGCCTTTTGTGCATCTAAAAAAGCATACTCAATGCTCACAATATCGTCCAGATCAGAATTTTTATCAATGTTCGAATAACGATTAATTTTTATCAACAACAAAAATCCGTTGATACAATGCAGCTTTTCGCGTGTTTTTGAGAAGGAGCAGCAAAGAGAGACAGGTCTGTATTTTGATTCTTGTAAGACCAACCCAAACTGGAAAACCACCAAAAAAACCAGCATGTCTAATGTCTACAATATCTCATAATCTCGACGTAAAATGGGGGAGTTCCACAAAATGTTGATATTGCCAAGATATTGCCGGCGGTGCTGTTTTCCTAGTTAAGTAGTAGTACCTAGTGTAAAAGTGCATTTTCGTTCAATTAGTTGTTAATTTTCACATATTTCTACTTCGTTTATTTTTAACTGGGGTATTATTTGTACTTGACTTATTATCTCACAGCAGCCGATTTAAAAACGTAATCTTTAAATACATTTCAATAAAGACAAATGGATAAAATTTATGTTAGACTTAGACGTTACCAGTCATTGCGAATAATACAACTTTTATAAGCCTGGGTGAGTCATTATAATATAAATGATCAGATACATAGCTAGAGGAAGTGTTCGCAGGGGCGAAGCAGTCAGCCATAATATCTGCTCTGTCATTAAAATTCATTTATTGCCTGTTAATAAAAGATAATTGATAAGCAATACCGATTGTCTCCACTTACTCCTAATAAATTATGGTTACCTCGACCGTGTTGCTATATTCCCAAGAAAGTTCATAACTTGTCTCCTCTTCGTGTTTGGGTCCTCCCAGTTGCAAGATCAACATTTCGCAATTAATATTATAGTGAGATAATCTAACAGAGATTGCGTAATATCGCTATAACGTAATTTAGGAACGAGTCCATTCTAATTTTCGAACTTTTCATTAAGCAGATCGTTGTACTTATAGAATAGGGCGGCCTGATAACACACGAGCCTGCAATTACAATCGCAGTATGACTATGAGTATGTGCACGTGGGCCCGGGATCAGGGACTTGTAATCCTTATAATTTTATAATTCTATCCTGCTCCATGTAACGGCAACATATTGCCTACTCCTGGGCCACGCCAGCAACTCTAGTATTCCGCTCCCAGAATTCGGTTCATTACTCTGGATGATTTGGCAGCTGTCTCCGGATCCACAGCTGTCTATTTCAATTAATCACCCCTTTCTTCCCCGGACCACGGTTATTTGCCCTGTAATGACGTTTTGATTAGTTTTCCTCCTCAGTTTAGCCGCCTTCAAAGGTTTGGTATCATATCAACATGTGTGCAACATCAGAACAACATGCATGCATGAGCATCGTGTCACGGCTGACCCGGTGCGATTGCTCAATTGCATAGTTATTACCTTGTGATGGATATATATGGGGGGTTTTCTAGAATTTTAAAGATTGCAATTTGTTGTTATATATAAGGTCGGTGGTGGTGGTGTTGACTACAGTGTTTGAAATCGTCACTTTATCACAGGTGTCAAAAATGGGTTCCTGCACAGCTCAGGGGTGTCTAAAAAACAGCATGATGGCGAAGCAGAAAGAGCTCCTGATGTATGGGATTCCGACCTGGCTCCTGGCCACGATCCAAGTAGGCCTGGCCTTCATCACCCTCATATTCGCAGGTCACCTAGGTCCCGCCATGCTGGCGGGGGTAGGGTTAGGAAACACCATGTACAACGTGCTGCTGTGGAGTGTACTCTGGGGGTTCACATCAGCGCTGGACACGTTTGGGCCCCAAGTTTACGCCAGCTCGGATAAGAAGTACCACCTGGGAACTGTAACGCTGAAGATAGGACTGCAGGGGTTCGTTGTGTACATCTTCATCCTGGGCTTTACTTGAACAGCACCCACCTGGTCATGTTGCTGCCCTCAGAGACGGATACCGTGGCGGACCTCCATCAGCGGGACTTCTCACCTAACATCAGCAACATCGTGGTCCACAAGATAGCCTCGTACGCCAACGTCACCATCCCGTACGTTCACGTACCTGGAGCAAACTCCCGGAACAGTGACCACCTCTTCATGAACAATCTAGAAATCACCGTCGCGTACATGAGGATGGTATTCCTGGTTCCCCTTCTCGACTTCATCGTCTCGCTGATATCCAAGTTCCTGACAGTTCAGAGGTATATCATGGAGGTGTATGTGATCTCCCTGGCGATGATTGTGCTTCATGTTATGTGGAACCTGGTGTTGGTTAAATATCTGCACTTCGGGCTGGTCGGCCTCGCTCTTGCTGCTCTTCTTACACGGGTGGTAATACCAACTTTTTATTTTTCAGTTTTTCTACTTCAACCAATTTTGTGCGTAAATTCTTATCCTGACTTTTTTAGTTTTATTCGAACTTTTTCAATATTTTCATACTGAAAACTGTGTTACTTTCTGACCACGTGATTGAGAATAATAATAAACGCTACAAAACCCACAGATAACCCTGATCTTACTGCTCATCTACTGCTGGTTTAAGAGGAAGGAGCTCGCTTGGTGTGGATACTCTTCAGCGGTCTGCAAGAACTGGGAAGAATCATTGAAACTCGGCTTGTCAGGTAAACTTTTTATTCATTACCTCAACCTGATTTATTACCTCCAATATTATATATTTAAGTACGTTCTTAAGAATGTTGCCTGATTAATTACCTCAAATGTTTATCTCTAAGTCCATTCCCAAGAAACACGCTATAAAGACGTTTAAGTCGATGTGTGTGAAGTTATTTCTGTTACCTATAACATCCTGATCTTGCGCAGGAGCAGCGAATTTGTTCGTGGAGATGGGAATGTTCGAGATTGCTACATTCCTGAGTCAGTTCGATGGTCAAGCGGTATTAGCAACAGTCGTTGTGCTTTTCCAATTTGTGCAATGTTTCTACACCATCCCAGTTGGAATATCTACTGCAACTACAATCCTTATAGGTTAGTTAGACTTGATGAATCACTTAACTAAAGTTAAAACACAGAATTATTTTTATAGGCTAGGCTAGGCTACTTCCCCTAAAATAACCTTCATGGTTATCGGAAAAGTTGACCACCGACCTTCTAGATTGTATTTAAATTCGCTTGATAGTTAATAGCGTGTAGACTTGGAATTTCAATTGGTGGTTCATAAAAATAAAGAACGCGTTATTCTGATATAATTTGATCGCGACTCATATTTTAACGACTCATATATTTAACAACATTCTTAGATGAATAATTTTTAACATTTTTACACTCATATTTATCATAGTTGGTCAGTACGCACTGTACGAACTTTTAAAAGGTGCCGAACTGTACGAATTTAAAAAAGCTGTCGAGGAATTTTTACCGAATTTTAAGGAAAAAAAAAATTGTTTTTTAATCACTTCAGTCCGAAAAATTCAAACCTCAAACTGTTAAATCAGGTTTCTGAGTCGGACACTACAAGTTTAGGTGATACTGATAGCAAAGTTGATGTGACTTATTGCATGTGCATTGATTTCCTTAATAAAGTTGAGAAGTGATTTTCATGCTTACTAATACTTCAGTTATACAATTTGTATCATTGGTCAAAACCCAAAACGTAAACCCCTCATATTTCAAATTATAAGATTTTTGGAATTAGCTTTTCGAAAATTTATGAGGCGAATTTTTCCCGAACTAATCCCGAACTGAAAAAAGGTGCCGAACTGTACGAATTTTTTACGACTTTTGTACGAACTGACCAACTATGATATTTCTTGTTTGGACTCAAATAACACGCGATAACGCTCAGGAAACGCTCTGGCGGAGAGGAAAAAATCAGAAATTCGCAGCTACATGAAGCTTTCCATCTTCAACACCCTCTTCTTCGCCATCATAGCCTCCCTCTTCTTCTACTTCCTCCGGCATCCGCTGGCAGAACTATTCACCTCCAGCCCGGACGTTATCGACAAGTTCACCTCCTGCATCTGGGTATTCCTCGTACTAATGCCCTTCGACAACCTGCAGACCGTCCTCGCACGTGGAATACTCATCTCCTTCGGCAGACAGAGGTTCATTGCCATCTCTCTGGCATTGATCTGCTACTGCATAGCCACCCCCCTGATAGCAGTTTTTGTGTTTTACACAAACCTCGGACCCACTGGGATCCTTCTCTCTTTCGTGGTCTTTGCTGTGCTGAACACTATTTCTGGGGCAGTCAAGATATCCACTCTCTCCCTGGAAGAGGAGATAGAGAGAGCAGACTGGAGGGCCACGGAGACAGCAGGCACTGGAAGTACAGATGATCTGATCTCCTGCAACTCCTACACCATGAACGAGAACACACCACTCACCGGCAACAAGACTCCATATGAAATGAGCGAGAAAAACGTTTTGTTGTTAGTTGCGGTGGAATTGGTGTTTTTAGCGCTTATGACTTACTTTTCGTCACTGTGATTGTTGAGGGCAGGACATTTTAACTTAATTTCGTAATACTATTACTAATTTTATGTGAAATACGAACCGTTTTAAAATGGCTTCATATTATTATTAATGCTATCCGCCCCCGCTCCCCCCCCCCCATCCGGATTATTTAGTTTTAAACAGAATCAGGAAAACTAAACAGGACAACTAAATTGTAAACAGACTTGTCAAATGTTTAATTTCAAACGTATTTATGAGATTTTCTTCAACCATTTTCTTGACTCATTTATACATTATATGAGTGACAACGTCAATTTCTCGAGGTATGTTGCTTTTTTTGAATTTTAAAAATTTGAAGATGGACTTTGGGCTCCATTTTCGGGTCACTGATTTCAACGCTGGTGTCTTGCTGTATATGATTATGATTACGAAAACCCATATCATTAATATAATGTTTTATAATGTTTCAGGCAATCTGTAATTAATCGCTTTTAGTTTTGTTTTATGACACGAACTGATTTTTACTGTGAATATGATACGCTCACGTCTCAACACTGGGGCTAATTCAAATGGTTTCTTAACAGTTTAACTTTAACTTTGGTGTCGAGATCAGCAAGCTCAGTTTAACTCTGACAGTCAGTGACTGACTGCATGATTAATGGGTAATTATATACTTACAGTTACTTACTTAGTAATTATAGGACTATTATAATATTAATTGTGGTTTGTGGTTGCTTGTACGACATTCCTTACCTTCTATTGTTACGATTAGTAATAGCCAACGTAATTATACTTATAGTAACAGACCTTTCAGCTGAACCCAAGCTAGCAACAACTGTTCGATCCAAGATCATTAAGGTAAAAATCAGAAATAACATGCGATAAAAAGCTTATGTATAAAAATTAAAAAAACAATATCTGACTATTGACTTTCAGTCGTCAAAATTTAATTAATATCACTATAAGTATACACTTACAGCTCGCCGACTACCAGTAAATATCCATATACCATCCAGGGTACGGTACCAAAATAAAAGCGCTAATGGCTATTAGCCGCAAATTTAATGATTAATGTTTATTGGTAGCAATTAACTGGTGATTAAGATTTAAAACGGCAATTTAAACGATCTAGGTACTTGAGAACTCGAATCATTAAAGTTAAAGAGTCTAGAAGCTTACGGCATTCCAGTCAAAATCGTGCAGCTTATACGGCTCATGTACGAGAAGACAATGGCCAAAGTCCTAACTCCAGACGGAGAAACTGAATTGTTCGAGATACTTGCAGGTGTGTTACAGGGTGATACCTTAGCACCTTACATCTTTGCAATAGTCATCGACTACTGTATGAGGCAAGCCATAGGCGATGATGCGGAGCGACTTGGACTCACCCTCGAACGTAGAAAAAGCAGAAGAGTGGGGCCCAAGATCATCACCGATGTGGACTTTGCAGATGATATAGCACTTATATCTGAGGACATGGACAAGGCTAACGAGTTCCTGCTCAGAGTAGAATCGGCGGCAGCAAGCGTGGGACTACACATAAACGAAGGCAAGACCAAGGTCATGACACTGAATATGGAGGATCGATCTAGCGACCTACAAAGTCGATCCGGGGAAGCCATAGAAAATGTAGATGATTTCATCTACTTAGGCTCCTGGATTGAGAGCACAGATAGGGAGATAAGGGTTAGAAAGGGAAAAGCGTGGGGTGCCCTACATAGACTGAAGGATATCTGGAAATCCAAACTCTCAAAGAGCCTAAAGATTAGATTGTTCATAGCGGCTTGTGAATCAGTACTGCTCTACGGATCAGAAACCTGGACACTGACAAAGGCTCAAGAGAAAAGTTTGGACGGGACATACACAAAGATGTTGCGTATGGTGCTGGGTATCTCATGGAAGGACAAGGTCAGCAATATAACTTTGTATGGTAGCCTCCCAAGGCTGTCAAACAAGTTACGAAGCAGGAGATTAAAAATGGCGGGACACTGCATCCGACATCCTGAGCTACTTGCCAGTGATTTAGTCTTATGGGAACCTACGCACGGTAGAGCACAGCAAGGCCGACCAAGACAAAGCTACTTGTCTATGTTACTGAAGGAAGTTGGGACAAACTCTAAAGAGGAACTGCGAACCCTGATGCGGGACAGGGATATATGGAGGGGGTTTTCTGGCGTAGATCGGACTTAGCTCCGACATAGTAGTAGTAGTAGTAGTAGAGTACATGCTATGTCAGCTGGAATAAGATCACAGTAAGTCTCATACATCCAAAGCAATATTTAATGAAGTGGGAGGGAGGGAGGGAGGGAGGGAGGGAGGGAGGGAGGGAGGGAGGGAGGGAGGGAGGGAGGGAGGGAGGGAGGGAGGGAGGGAGGGATGGAGAAAGTCAGAGAATTTCCTATCCTGGTAGGGGCTAGGAAAATCTTCCAAAACCTCTTTTTCTATTCTGATGATTTTCCGTTTATCAAAGCTTTCTTTGGGAATAGGACTTTTAGTATTTCAATCGTGTCTTTTGCCATCCTCAGCAAAATTTGGGTCGCGGAAGGCTGAAAAGTGAAATTCGAATATGTCCTATTCGACATATTCAAAATTTTCATTGTCATTGCATAAACGTTTTCTCCGGATATACTGCTTCCAGTACTTTTGTCACTCTCACTGATCTCACTCGAAACCACGAAATTTCGGTAAAGGGGATCGGACGGCAGAAAAGCTCCTCTTCAAAAATCTTCCAATATTCTGATAATTTTCCGTTTATCAAAGCTTTACGGATATATACAATTTTGTATATTGTGATTAAAAAAATGGTGGCAGTGAACGTTTAAAATTAAAACACAATGTTACATCTTAGTAATGGTTGAACAAGATTATCTCATCGAATAAATAAACTACATAACTTATTATTAATATCAATTATGACTAACAAATATAAGTTGAAGTTAATCTACTGTTGGAATTAGCTTGCTGAAACATTACTACTTTTTTCCAAAATCTTTCAATTTAGAAAAAACTGTTATACTTTATTGCCGTTCGGAATGTCTATCATCTTACAACCCGCAGCTAAGAATCATACAGAATTGGGAGAATTTACATACTACGGAAACTCAAAAACGGTAGTGATTAATGAAAAAATCGGTCAAATAAAGCTAGCAAGACATCCAGAGTTGCATATCATTTGGCCTGGCAAAAATCAATCAATGTTCTTGATTATGTTCACTTTACATTAATTCTACTATCAATCACTAACACAATATTTTTATTTTTCACATTACAATGGTCTGAAATTAGTCAAAGTACACTCACTTAAAAGTCAAAACCCGTTCTCATAGAAACCGATCGCATTAAATAACTCGGTAAAAACGGTACAAACGACTCACTGTTTGTTTATTATCTACAGATAAAATCCTGACCTTGCAGGAACGCTAGATGAACTACAACTCTACAAACAGTTGAGTTCATTTCAACACTGGACTGGTTTTGAATTTTGCATAAAATCCCCTGATCAGGGAGGAGAGTTCCTCCTCAGACGCCATGTCCGAGAAAAGCCTGTGGTCGAGTAGTTCGCATGCGGTGCTCCGTAGTGCTGGCTCTTGCTTCAAACAACATGTTAGGAAGTTTAGCATTACACTCGATATCTGAAAATTATGGGGTCAATATTTTTACTACAATCGAAATATTAACATTGTGCGCACTCTTGGCTTGGCTGATTGCTGGCTATAATAGGGAGGCAGCTTCATTATAAACATGCCAAAGATAGCAAGAGTTTAAATTAACGTCATTCGATTCGATCAAATCGTTAATTATCAATCATTGAAATAATATATTTATTCAATATTATATAATATTCAATATATACTATTATATATTAGTATATTATATTGTATACAATCGTCGGGATGTATATTAATTGCGCGCAGCAGACGATTATCGTCAAACTGCACGATTAACGTACGATTATTGTGCGCGACTAAAATCTGCGAAATGGCCCATATTTTCCACTGTGTGTCATGCATGTCATGTCATTCATGTAATAAATTCATGCGCGCGCGTTGCGCGTACGTGCGCGTACTGATTAAAACATTGTCGCGTGTTCCAACTTCAAATAAAATCAGACGAGTCTGTCCCAAACATGGCAAACAATGACGTCTTCTCACCTCTGCTTTTGCAGGCGAAGGGGATGGGTTGACTTTAATCTTATCCATCGCTACAATCTGGCTATCACTAAAGTTGGGTGGTTCCCCGTCCAGCATTTCTATCATCATGATTCCCAGCGACCAGATGTCCGTCTGAAATGTACATCCAAATTAAAAAATTTTGCTACGAAATAGATTGCTAATGATTAATCCTGGCAGGATTATGTATCCTACTGACAAAAATAATTATCGAAAAATGTTTTCACAGATCATCGAAGAGACCATAACATCCTTGTTCTCACCATGCGGCCATATGGCTTTCTGGAGACAATCTCGGGGCTCATCCAATGGGGCGTGCCAATAAGGCCGGTACAGGTCGGCTTATCTGCGGTAATCCTATCACAGTACCCAAAATCTGATAATTTTACCTGAAAAGAAAGTGTCAGTAATTCTTCTAAGATTTTAGAAATATTTCGAGTTTATCGTCAATATGTTATTACAGTTTCGACTGCATGTTTTTTGGATCACAATCAATTTGGAGACCGCATTAAACCGGAAAAGTTTTGATTTTCCAAAAAATGTTTAAAATCTCTTTTCAGCTTTTCGTAGGAAATATATTGAATAGTTGAATGCACTTCAATTTGTCTCAAGATTTTTAGATGTTTAAAGTCTATGGAGCGCATTTCTTAAAAAATTAGCAGGAAGGTTAACATGCCAAATAATACACAAATCCGGCGCTGCGGCAAGAGCAGGAATAATGCAGCCATAATCTTGAGTAATTGTTAAAGAAAAGAGATGTTATTATTATAATTTGTAAGTTTAGCAGTGCATTAGTATTAAAGTCACGTATTGTACTATATATTCTGAAATCATCTTGTACTAAATAATTTGTGTGTACAAATCTCTACATTTCTTTGTGTGTTTGATTTATAATAATTAGATAACGAGAGTTTCGAGAACGAGCCGGGCACTAAATAAGTTGCACTACTGATATTTAAACTACTTTAACAGTACTATAAATTAATTTACAATTAACTTAATCAATTAAATAATGATTATCTTATAAATTCTGTCTTATATAAAAACAACTTGTCTCAGTGTGATTCTAACAGGAATGGAACTTCTTGCATTATATACTACTTGCACACATACTAGTTTCAGCCGGGACCCTTTAACTAGAGCCTTGTCAACTTTACACTATATAAATATATATATAGTGTAAAGTTAGGGTGACAAGGCTATAGTAGTGCTGAAAGTTGTCAAAACGTTACACACATGTGGCAAACTCGTGGCCATGTTGGAACACAGTATAAGAGACAGTAAGAGATACAGTAACAGGTACTGAAGCGTACGACGAAGCGTGTATAACCCTCGCACGGCACAACTCTTAGTGTCTCTCTCTAGAATGAATATTCATACTGGCTCCACATAATTAATTACATGCACGAGAAATCCTTAAAGAGTTAACTATACCGCTCTCTACCTCGTTCACTTTAAAAACACTCTTTGTTCATGGCACGATCTTTTAAATACGTCCAACTCTTGCATGTTCGGCATTTAAAAGTTCAGATACTCAGCTGTGTAGAGAGGGTGATTTGCCAATACCCAGACAAAAGGCATGCTGAAAGATTGTCCTAAAAATAAACATGAACTAGCCGCCTTTGCTCCTATCCTTTAACTAAAAAGCCCGTATAATGACGCCCACTAATTACAGTGTCGCCGCTACACGAGTCTGCATTCTGCACTCTGGCCATGCGGGTTGGCTAATACCTTATTCTAGGGTGTACTCCTCCCCCACCCCTACCAGCCGTTATCCAATGCGGACATTTAAAAAGCGTATCAAATCACAAACTCGCATATTTTAACTTCCACTGTTCGGGGGGGGGGGGGGGGGGGGGGGGGGCACTGTTCTGTGCAGGGTGGCCGATGCTACCTTATTTCATGGCTCATATTTTAAATAGCATGGAATAAAGAAGTCGGAAACATTGAAACACCGAAATATCAGACAAAAGTATGGATCACTTTATTTGTTTTGACGATATGTCGACATTTGAGACGCGACATGGTACATGATGCCGTATTATGAGTAATTTTCTGTTGAAAGTCTCCAATCTTACGATAATGGGTCCGACACGTACAGATAATTTTACACAGGATTATCTGACATCTGTACTTATAGCTTTATAGGTACAGGTGTGGAATGTAGGCCATATTGATCCTACACAGCTTGTAGGTGTGGAATGTAGCTATGTAGGCTATGTTGATCCTACACAGCTTCAGGGTGTGGAATATATGCTATGTTGATCCTACACAGCTTCAGGGTGTGGAATGTAGGCTATGTTGATCCTACACAGCTTGTAGGTGTGGAATGTAGGCTATGTTGATCCTACTCAGCTTGTAGGTGTGGAATGTAGGCTATGTTGATCCTACACAGCTTGTAGGTGTGGAATATAGGCTATGTTGATCGTACACAGCTTCAGGGTGTGGAATGTAGGCTATGTTGATCCTACACAGCTTGTAGGTGTGGAATGTAGGCTATGTTGATCCTACACAGCTTGTAGGTGTGGAATATAGGCTATGTTGATCGTACACAGCTTCAGGGTGTGGAATGTAGGCTATGTTGATCCTACACAGCTTGTAGGTGTGGAATGTAGGCTATGTTGATCCTACACAGCTTGTAGGTGTGGAATATAGGCTATGTTGATCCTACACTGTTCTGTGCAGGGTGGCCGATGCTACCTTATTTCATGGCTCATATTTTAAATAGCATGGAATAAAGAAGTCGGAAACATTGAAACACCGAAATATCAGACAAAAGTATGGATCACTTTATTTGTTTTGACGATATGTCGACATTTGAGACGCGACATGGTACATGATGCCGTATTATGAGTAATTTTCTGTTGAAAGTCTCCAATCTTACGATAATGGGTCCGACACGTACAGATAATTTTACACAGGATTATCTGACATCTGTACTTATAGCTTTATAGGTACAGGTGTGGAATGTAGGCCATATTGATCCTACACAGCTTGTAGGTGTGGAATGTAGCTATGTAGGCTATGTTGATCCTACACAGCTTCAGGGTGTGGAATATATGCTATGTTGATCCTACACAGCTTCAGGGTGTGGAATGTAGGCTATGTTGATCCTACACAGCTTGTAGGTGTGGAATGTAGGCTATGTTGATCCTACTCAGCTTGTAGGTGTGGAATGTAGGCTATGTTGATCCTACACAGCTTGTAGGTGTGGAATATAGGCTATGTTGATCGTACACAGCTTCAGGGTGTGGAATGTAGGCTATGTTGATCCTACACAGCTTGTAGGTGTGGAATGTAGGCTATGTTGATCCTACACAGCTTGTAGGTGTGGAATATAGGCTATGTTGATCGTACACAGCTTCAGGGTGTGGAATGTAGGCTATGTTGATCCTACACAGCTTGTAGGTGTGGAATGTAGGCTATGTTGATCCTACACAGCTTGTAGGTGTGGAATATAGGCTATGTTGATCCTACACAGCTTCAGGGTGTGGAATGTAGGCCATGTTCCAACCGTCCCACAACAAAGAGAGTACATGGGGTTTCCGTGTTGTTTTGTTCAGACATCACCCAGTATGCACTACGTGACAATAACAAACGCAGTGATAACACGGCAGCAGCAGGGTTACTCGCTGCAATTCACTGACGTTTCAGGGTTGAAACGCTTTCAAAGTTCGCAGTTCCCACTTCAAAGTTCACATTTCGTATATGTTTACAATGAAAATACATAATTTATCCGAAAATGCTGTACCAAAACGTACCGCTCTCAGTTTCTACATCTACATCGGAGTCTTACCCAAATTAAATTTGTTAACTAGCAACTGACAAATGTCGAACGTATTAAATGCTATTTATATAATAATTTGTGTTTTATTATTATTATATTTTAAATAGCATGGAATAAATAAGTCGGAAACATTGAAACACCGAAATATCAGACAAAAGTATGGATCACTTTATTTGTTTTGACGATATGTCGACATTTGAGACGCGACATGGTACATGATGCCGTATTATGAGTAATTTTCTGTTGAAAGTCTCCAATCTTACGATAATGGGTCCGACACGTACAGATAATTTTACACAGGATTATCTGACATCTGTACTTATAGCTTTATAGGTACAGGTGTGGAATGTAGGCCATATTGATCCTACACAGCTTGTAGGTGTGGAATGTAGCTATGTAGGCTATGTTGATCCTACACAGCTTCAGGGTGTGGAATATATGCTATGTTGATCCTACACAGCTTCAGGGTGTGGAATGTAGGCTATGTTGATCCTACACAGCTTGTAGGTGTGGAATGTAGGCTATGTTGATCCTACTCAGCTTGTAGGTGTGGAATGTAGGCTATGTTGATCCTACACAGCTTGTAGGTGTGGAATATAGGCTATGTTGATCGTACACAGCTTCAGGGTGTGGAATGTAGGCTATGTTGATCCTACACAGCTTGTAGGTGTGGAATGTAGGCTATGTTGATCCTACACAGCTTGTAGGTGTGGAATATAGGCTATGTTGATCGTACACAGCTTCAGGGTGTGGAATGTAGGCTATGTTGATCCTACACAGCTTGTAGGTGTGGAATGTAGGCTATGTTGATCCTACACAGCTTGTAGGTGTGGAATATAGGCTATGTTGATCCTACACAGCTTCAGGGTGTGGAATGTAGGCCATGTTCCAACCGTCCCACAACAAAAGAGAGTACATGGGGTTTCCGTGTTGTTTTGTTCAGACATCACCCAGTATGCACTACGTGACAATAACAAACGCAGTGATAACACGGCAGCAGCAGGGTTACTCGCTGCAATTCACTGACGTTTCAGGGTTGAAACGCTTTCAAAGTTCGCAGTTCCCACTTCAAAGTTCACATTTCGTATATGTTTACAATGAAAATACATAATTTATCCGAAAATGCTGTACCAAAACGTACCGCTCTCAGTTTCTACATCTACATCGGAGTCTTACCCAAATTAAATTTGTTAACTAGCAACTGACAAATGTCGAACGTATTAAATGCTATTTATATAATAATTTGTGTTTTATTATTATTATATTTTAAATAGCATGGAATAAAGAAGTCGGAAACATTGAAACACCGAAATATCAGACAAAAGTATGGATCACTTTATTTGTTTTGACGATATGTCGACATTTGAGACGCGACATGGTACATGATGCCGTATTATGAGTAATTTTCTGTTGAAAGTCTCCAATCTTACGATAATGGGTCCGACACGTACAGATAATTTTACACAGGATTATCTGACATCTGTACTTATAGCTTTATAGGTACAGGTGTGGAATGTAGGCCATATTGATCCTACACAGCTTGTAGGTGTGGAATGTAGCTATGTAGGCTATGTTGATCCTACACAGCTTCAGGGTGTGGAA